GGCAGCCGCCGAGGCGGAGGCCGGGAAGGAGGAGCTGTTGGCCCGCTCGCAGCTGTACCGAGAGAAGTCCAACATGTACCCGCCAAGCAACACCCCCGGCGAGGGACTGAGCCACGGGGGCGGCCTGCGGCCCAACGGGCAGACGAAGCCGCTGCCGGCGCTGAAACTGGCGCTGGAGTACATCGTGCCGTGCATGAACAAACACGGCATCTGTGTGGTGGACGACTTCCTGGGCCAGGAGACCGGCCTGCAGATCAGCGAGGAGGTGCGGGCCCTGCACGACACGGGCAAGTTCACGGACGGGCAGCTGGTCAGCCAGAAGAGCGACTCGTCCAAGGACATCCGTGGCGATAAAATCACCTGGATCGAGGGCAAGGAGTCCGGTTGCGAAACCATAGGGCTGCTCATGAGCAGCATGGACGACTTGATCCGCCACTGTAACGGGAAGCTGGGCAACTACAAAATCAATGGCCGGACGAAAGTAAGTGTGTGCGTAGGGTTTGCACTGGATGCCGCTTAACTCAGTGCGCCACCTCCGCACGCGTGCGGCGCAGCTGCCTAGGTCTGGAGCGGGATTTCGCTCAGTTCTTGGTGTAAGTCTTTTCTCTGTAGCCAGCTAATCGTTAGTGCCCCTCAAAGGCAGAGGACCCAGCCCCTGTATAAAGTGTATCTAGTTCGCTCCATTCTCTCTATCCACTTTTTCCCATTTAGTTCTTGCTTGCAGGCATTACCATCAGGTTGCGTGGTTTTGGAGTTAAACTCTGCAGACCTCCAATTTGCGTCGAAAGTTTTTCATTCTTCAAGGGCACTATCAATTGCAAATTAACCCTACTGGAGTCTTAACCCCCCAAGGCCAGTATTAGAGTACTACCCCTAGCAAGTGCCTTGCGTTTGCCTAAACTCTTACATTTCCTAAAGTGCTTGAACCATTCTTCAGATTCCGATTAATAGAGGCCAAAATTGGTGTCTAAGTAAGAATCTGCCAAGTAGTCACAAAAAATCCATTTAAAATAAACATTTAACCTAAGAACACCTTGTCTTCTGGAAGAACCTAGCAACTCCCCTGGCCCTCATCCTCCTTGTCCCTTTGGCTGAAACTCACTACAAAACAGAGAAGAAAGTATTTTCATTACCAGATGGCTCAGGCTAGGTAGGCTACCTTTTTAGACAAGGTTTCCTTTATTTGCTCTCATCATCTAATCCCTCTGTTTTTCAAGAGTTCTTTTGTAGTTTCCTGGAAAAATACATGGGATTGGAGAGGCAGGATTTATTTTAACCTCTCAATTCATTAAGATAATTTGTTTCTCTTTGCCAACAAAAGTTTCAGGTCCTACCTAGTCCTGTCTGTCTGCCCTCCCTCCCTCGCTGATTATGGTAAACACTAGCCTCTTTCTTCTTTCATGTTCTCTCTTGAAGCCCTTTTTCACTTAACTTTCCAGATCTAAATCTTTTCTTTGTACCCAGCTCCTCCATGCTCTAACCCTGCTGCTCCTCCACCCATCTCCACCAGCAATCTCTGCCAGGCTGTGACTTTTGAGATCTTGTTTGGGGAGCTAGTTGTACGAGGATGTCTGTACACAGTGAAACCCTTGCCAATATTTCTTTTGTGTGTGTCAGAACATCTTATCTATGGAGTCCCATTATGTGGGACTCCCATACTGCCTGAAAGACTGAGTATAAGCAATATCAAAAGGGCTGAACTGGAACATTTCGCAGGAGGAAAGACACTGTGAAGTCTAATTTGCATGTTGCCACTTCAATGTTGGATGAAAGGCACTTGTCTTACTATCATGTGGTCTCAAATAAGTGAACAGTTGTTTAATATTCAACTAAAAGAACAAAGTGGTCTGATTAAACCGCAGCCTTGCTGGTCTTTAAGATTTTCACTGATATAAAAAACACTTTGTAACGGAACAAATCTGAATATGGTCACAAACAGGAGCTAGCTTGGGGGAATAATCAAGGGCTTTGAAGATGGACCACAGTATGTAGTGGGCATGCAAGCCTAAGCTGGAACCATGAGGAAGACAATATTCTAAATCATCTTTACTCTTTCTTTAGTTAATTTAGCTTTTCAAATTAAGATCAGTCTTCATTCTCTTACCTTTCCGTGTCTACCTGCCCTTCCCAGGAAAGGGTTCTTAGAACTGTTGCTTCTCACAGAGAGGTTTAGAAAATAATCATCCCCTTCCTAGTTGTTGAAGGAAATAGGAGTTGAGGTTTCAATCCCTTGACTACACATATCATCATGTGGTAAGGGATGAGTAAAGGAAGAATGGATTTAAAACTCTTTAGATGTTAGCCTACGTTTACATCAATTTGGGGGACATTATTTTAAATATGAGTACTCTTAGGGAATCCCTTTCATTGTACTACTTGGCTGAGTTTTCCGTTATCATGTTTCATTCTGCAATTTAAGTACAGGCAGTCCCTGGGTTAAGAAGGAGTTCCGTTTCTCAATATGTCTTTTAAATTGAATTTGTGCTGAAGTCAGAACAGTTAAGTAAATTGATGAGCTGACCCCAGCTAATCAAATGTTTGTCCTAGTATATAATGTACCTTTCTATGCATAAAAACACTAAAGAAATCCTTCCTGTTGCACTGAAATATCTGAAATATAATAATACAGGAATAATAATGCTTTGCACAAGTTACAAAGGATCACCCATGTGTTATTATGAAAAGTTATATGTTCTTTGCTTTATCTGGGTTATTTTTTACATACTGGTTACACATAAATTTGACATTCTTAACGCAGTGACTTCTTTTATCCCAAAGAGGCCGGGATGCTTGCGTTAGGAGAGTGCGAAGGCCCTCAGAACATCAGCTCTTATGTACTGAGCAACCATCTTGTGCAGGAACCGGTGTAGACTCCATACAGATATGATCACAATCTTTTCAATAATCCTGTGAATTAGGTAGTATTATTCATAATTCACATTTTGGGAAAATTTCAGTGTAGACTTGCCATGACATATTAGTCAAGCCGAGATTCAAACTTCAGGCCATTCAGATAAATGTTAAGTCCTATGCTTCTTCCTACCAGGCTACATAGGTAGGACACTAGATGAGAAAGCGTACATTATCAGGCATACTACTGGCTCTAAAATTTGGGAATATTTTGTTGAAAAGGGGGTGAATAGCATCATTGTATATAAGTAATTATCCTCTATGATTGATTTATTAACTTTCCGATGACTATACAATGTGGTTAACATTGGGCTGTTAACCACAGTGGCAGCAGTTCAAAACCCCTAGACACTCTGTGGGAGAAAGATGAGGCTTTCTACTTCTGTAAATAGTTACAGTCTCAGAAACTCAGTAGGGCAGTTCTGCCCTGCCATCCAGGGTCATGATGAGCAAGAATTAACTTGATGGCAGTGAGTTTGGTTTTTGGAGTTTTCGTATAATGTTTATTTCAGGTAGTGGTTTAAAAAGCCATTTTGTTTTTATGTACCTGACTCATATTTAAGTCTTTAAAAAAGAAAAACAAACCCAAACCTACTGCTGTCAAGTTGGTTTCAACTCCTAGTGACCCTAGGTAACACAGTTAAACTGCTCCATGGTGTTTCTGAGGCTGTACATCTTTAAGGAAACAGACTACCTCCTCTGCCTGCAGAGCAACTGATGGGTTTAAATGGCTGACCTTTCAGTTAAATGGCCTAACATTTCACCTAAACCACTGTTCCACCGAAACCCAAAACCATGTTCACTGACATCAGTTTGACACAGACTCACAGTGACCCTCGAGAACAGGGTGGGACCGCCCCTGTGAGTTTCCAAGACTAAAACTCCTTATGGAAATAGAAAGTCCCGTCTTTCTCCTGCAGAGTGGCTGGTGGTTTTTGAACTGCTGACCTTATGGTTAGCAGCCCAGTATGTAACCACTACACCACCAAGGCTCTTTAATTATGTATAACTCTTAAGGAATGGTAGAATATTATGTGTAATTGCAGAGAGGGTCTTTCACTTGTCATTTTTATCCTTCACAACATTGTAGTGATTTAAAAAGTAACTTGCCTCAAAGTAGGTACCAAAACCCGTTGCTGTGAAGTCCATGGCAAAAAATGGCAACCCCAAGTTTGTCAGAAAACTATGCTCTATAGGCTTTTAAGTGGCTGATTTTTCAGAAGTAAATGGTCAGGTCTTCTGTGGTGCCTGGGAGTAGTTGCAAACCTCCAACCTTTCAATTAGTAACCGAGTATATCAACTCTTCGTACCATCCAGGGCCTCCTGGAGGTATAGGTAGTAGTATTATCCTTGTGTATAGGTTAGGGAAGTCTGCCTGGTGCCTGGTGGGTTGTAGAAATCACAGATGACTTGAAGGAAGAAGACAAGGAATGAGGATTATGAATAAATGTTGAACTTTTCTGTTGGGGTTTTTCTGCAGAAAAGAGATTGAGGTCCCGTACATCTGATTTTTAGAATTTAAAGATATTGTGTTAAAGTGTACACAAAGAAAAAAGTAAATAAGATAGATTGGAATCAATAGCAAATTATATTCCTAAAAATTTTCATTACTATTGCAGCTAATTAGCTGTGGCTGATTGTAGGTTGTAGAACAAAGAATAGGACAAAAAATGCAGGTATTTTATTAGTGGTTCCATAGAAATGCACTAACAATCCTCTTAGACTTTAAAAGTAAAGCAAACAAGACTCCTTCTCTAACTACTTCCACTTTCTTTATACTATTTGCATCCAAAATATACAAACTGAAAGTGCTTGTTTTTAATTATTTAATGGGTATATCCTCATTTAAGATCAAAGTCAGCTATTCTGTGTTTCAGAAGGCTGAAAACACAAAAACTGAAGTAGTTCTGTTAACTATGAAGGTGCATTTGGAAAGATGCGTGTGAACTGGAAGAATATTAGGTTGAAATGGTACCAAGTTCAGTTCTATAGGAAAACATTTTGTATAGTTAATTATTTTTATTCTAAAGGAATTTTATTTTAAAGTTTTTTGAGGGTCATATTTCAGATTTACAACTTCATTGTTATGTACTATACTATATACTAAAGCTTCATTTTTATCTTCACATTGGGCTGTGATGCGCAAGGCCCGCAGTTGGAAACCACCAGATCTCCCTGGGAGAAAGACAGGGGTTTCTACTCCCATAAAGAGTTATAGTCTTGGAACTCCCCAGGGGCAGTTCTACCCTGTCTTGTAGGGTTGCTGTGAATCAGAATTGACTCGATGGCTGTGAGCTTGGTTTTGTTCCTTATACTGTATACTCATTCACTGCCATTGCATCGATGTTGACTCATAGTGACCCTATAGGAAAGAGCAGAACATGCCCCTTTGAGTTTCCGAGACTGTAACTCTTTATGGGAATAGAAAGCCCTGTTTTCTCCCGTGGAGCGGCTGGTGGTTTCGAACTGCTGACCTTGAGGATCGCATATGCTATTAAATAGTATGTATTTTATGTGTATAGTACATAGATTAAAATGGACTATATACTAGTATATAGCACGAGGAGCCCT